GATCGGGTCCTGAGACAGGCGAGTCCGTAGTATTCCAATTCACTGCTGATGGCAACACAGGTCAGGTTGGCTCATCTGTAGGAATTATTATTAATACAGAACAGTACGTTTTACTAAATAGCAGTTATTGTGGAGGAGTTGAATGATTTAGTAAAAGCTGCACTTACTTAATGAGATTCTCTAGAAAAAGACGGGCATTGCTCAAGACCTGCAAAGAAAGGACAAGTTAATAAAACAGTACTAAAATGTGTCAGATGCAAAGTGTACTAATTGTAGGATAGCAGCCAATTGGCACACAGCAACGTCTAACACACAGCCACCATCTTTTTTTCTCTGGAGGATCGTTGGCCAGGACATTGAGAGAAACTCCCTCTATTTGATGAATACATGGGATCTTTAATATTCACCTGAATAGGCAGATGGGACCTTGGTTTCACGCACCTCGAACAATGCAATACAATTTACATTTATATAGTATCTTTCACGTTGGGAGAATGTCTCAAAGTGCTCAACAAATGCTGGCTGGGCAGCTGAGAGGGAAGGTCAAAGCGGTCTTGAGATGAATATTGAATGAGGAAGCAAGTCAGAGGGACTCCAGGATGGAGTTCCAGAGTGCGGGGGATGAAAGCCCACCTGACGATGGTAGGACAGATAACAAGAACAACAAAATTACATTGCTATAGCGCCTTTCACATTGGAACGACGTACAGATACGGCGGGGCACATGATTCATAGCGGAGGGAGCAGCCCTGTTGGAATAGTTTGAGGTCTCAGAGGAAGCGGGGGGTGAGACCGAGAAGGGATTTGAAAGAAATGACCTTGAACTCAAACTGCCTGGGAAGCCAATCAAGAATGGGAGCATAAGAGTCTGTTGAGGGAGAGGACACGTCTGGATAGTCTGCAGCTTGTGTAGGTGAGATCGGGGAGACCGGCGAGCAGGGAGTTGGTGTAGTTGAGCCTGGATGTACTAAAAGTGTAGAAGAGTGTCTTGGCGGGCTAAGGGGAGAGGTAGTGGCGGAAGCAGGCAATAATAATCCTTGCATTTGATTATAGCACCGTATCACATCTTTGAGACGTCTTATAAAGCGCTTCACTGAACATACTATGAAGTGAATTGACTGTATATTTTGCAGGAGAAATCCGGCGGCCAATTGCACACGGCAGTCGTGGATTGAGTCATCACATTATTATTATTTGAAGGGATTATTACCTCCAGAAAAGTGATCTGCCAATCGACTAACAACCAGGTTCCTAATTACTGCTAGGTAAACAGAGGCGAGTGGAGTGACAAAACTTGCCTGATATTACGCCCTGCTTGGGAATTGAGGCTAGGTCATCTCGCTTGCGAGATGAGCCTCTAACCCCTAAGCTACAACCACTGACATATTAACTCAACAGGCACACCCGTATCACACCCAGTCAATTCAATTCTCGGAATTATAACAAAAGGGCAGTTCATTACAAAATCGTCTCTGGAAAGTGCAACATAGCTCTTTATCCTGTGTGCAATGGGTTTCAAAGCACTTCACGGAACGAGTGTGAAGTGTCTACAAGCAAGTTGGTGTGTGTGTGTGTGTGGGGGGTGGGGGTGGGGAGAGAGAGACAAGGAAAGGAGGAAGAGACACCTGGGTTCAATTCCAGGCAGGGTGAAACCTTGGGCAAGTTTCCTTACTCCACACTCCTAAATAATAATCCCTACAAAACAAAAAAAAAAAAATTTTCAATCCACAATTGTTTGTGGGACGCTGCTGTGCGCAATTGGCTGCCGCGTTTCGCCCACAAATATACGGTCAATTCATGTTACAGGATATAGAAGATGTGAAAAGTGCTATATCAAATGCAAGGATTAATATTACTGTTAAGAGAACAGGAAGAATAGTTGGAAATAGGTTAGAAAACAGGAAGAGGGTGTGTGGCAATTTCAGAGAGCGAGGGCATAGTGGAATTGAAAGTTTCCCACCGCGGAAGACCACCCCGACCTTTTATTTGTGAGTGTAAAGGGTTAATCCGCTTCTCCTATAGTCAGAATATATCAGGGCTGCTTGAGCCACTTACTAATCAGAAAGGGTGCAGTTACGTGCAAAACTGAATGTAAATCACTTCTGAAAGTTTAATGATCATCAGTGTGTTGTCAGATTATTCCCAGTAACATGTCTGGCACTGCACGTATCAAAGAACTACAAACCCATTAATAATAATAATAATCTGTGCATTTGATAGAGTACCTTATCACGTTGTTGATACGTCTCAAATCGCTTTACAGAATATATTGTAAATTGTAATGACTGTGTACTTTGTGGGCCAAACATGGCAGCCAATTGCAAACAGTAGTGTCCCACAAACAGCTGCGGATTGTGTGACCATTTTTCTTTTTGGCCTTGGTGCCCTGGCCTCAACCTCCCTTACTGGCGTTATATTCTGTGAAGACCTTTGAGACGTCTGGAAGACATAATAAGACGCCATATCAAATGCAAGGATTATTATTAACAAAACTTGTTCCAATTAAAAAATTACCTTTTGGGTAATAATAATGCTTTCATTTTATATGGCACCTTATCACGTCTTCGAGATGTCTCAACGTACTTCACAGAATATACTGTAAAGTGGAGTGACTGTGTATTTTGTGGAAGGCTTCCATAATGAATTGGATCTGAACCATAGGTCACCGTAACTGGTTCCTTCCCAGGAACATCCACTTACTGGGGTTACATTACGACATGGCAGCAATAGGGCCAACAAAACAAGATCCTCTGCACCATAACCTTTCAATTTTTCTCAAATTGCTTGCTGAGTCGCATTGAAGCTCCAGAAAGAGAACAGATGGCAGCTGCACTCTGCAGCAAACACAAGATAAACCGCCAAATCCCTTTTTCCTACACTCTCCACAGGAAATGGAAGGAAAACCGGCTGACACCGCACTCAATCACTGCAAGTTTTCAGGGCCCCTGTACTCCCCCAACTCCTGTGGCAATTGCACCAAATAATAATAAGAATCCTTGCATTGGATAAAGCAGCTTATCTCGTCATTGAGATGTCTCAAAGCGTTTCACAGGATATACTGTGAAGTGGATTGACTGTATATTTTACGGGCAAAACGCAGCAGCCAATTGCACACAGCAGCGCTCCACAAACAGTCGTGGATTGAATGACCAAATTATTATTGTATTATTACCCCCAGAAAGCGATTCACCAATCGACTAACAACCGGGTTCCTAATTACTGCTAGGTAAATGGATGCGTGTGGAGTAAGGAAACTTGCCTAAGGTTTCACGTTGCCCAGGAATCAAACCCGGGTCCTCTCGCTTGCGAGGCGAGTGCTCTAACAAATACGCTACAGGACTCCACGATTACAAATATACCGTAAGACAGCCCAAACACATCATTGTGTCAGTTAGACTCAGTCAGTAGTGCTCATCTTTGGTCAGGAGTTTGTGGGTTTGAGCTCCAGGTTGAGGACTCTGAGCTCATGGGTTCACACTCCAGCACAGTATGAAGGGGAGGGTGAGACGTGCTATCCTTCAGATAGGACGTTAAACTGAGGTCCCATTTGTGTCTGTTCAGGTAGATGTTAAACATCCTGTATGACAGAGACGGGAATTTTTCCCCAGTGCCCTGGCCAACAATCCAGACAAACATAAAAGTCAGTCTTTACTTCATGGCTGTTTGCAACCAAAAGGCAAGAGTGCAGCTATCTGTGCCAGCTGACACCTGGTAGCAGCCATAGTGAATTTGTGCTCTGCTCGCTCAATGGTTCGGATATACATTCCATAAACGAAAGCCCGCAATAGCAATGCTCCAGCCAGTGTGACATCTTGGGTAGGATTAGTCAAAGATTTCATTAGCAAATAAATGCTCCCTTGAATCTGTGGTTAACCCGTGGCCCTCAGAAATTGAGTCAACAACCCTCACAAGTGAAATGGTCAGAAATAAAACAGGAAGCAGAATGAAGATAACCTTCGTACCAGGCGATTGATAAAGGCAACCTTTGTCTTGGTTTGATAGAACCAAAGTGTTGAAGGCAACATTCTTTACAATAGGTGGAGCAGCATAGCGCAATCGTTTAGGTGGAATAAAACCTAAACAGAAGGTAAAATATTTGGTATTATTGGTGGCCGCGCTTTCAGCCACTACGCCCCAAAACTCTGGAACACTCTTCCTCTAGCATCCTGCCTTGCCCCTTCCTTCCCCATCTTCACCTCGCGCCTAAAGACCTTCCTCTTCGACGGGGCCTTCGGTCAACTGCCACCCAGCTCGGCCTTGTGCTCAGCCAGTCAAGCGCTCTGGGACGCTACCCTGCGCGAGGGGCACTCTATAAGTGCAAGTTGTTGTTATAAAATGCTTCACAACTTTTTTTTTTAAAAAAATCAGCTGCAAACTCATCACCATGCTGGAGTATCCAAACCAGACAGAGTTCCACATAATGCCGTACTCATGGGGATTTCCCTGTGTCTGGAACGGAATATGTACTCTTTCTGGAGGGACACGCCCCACTTACTCAATCCCAGAAAGTGTCAGGCACAGATTTATGAGAGCCAAGGTGTGGCTGTCCTAGAGTGTACTGTTGGACTTTAACCAGCTAAAGCCATATAGTTTGTTATTAAGCGTTCCATTAGGGCTTGCAAGGTTAATGGGAGCAGATTGTGAAGAATCCCCTCCAAGGCCTGCCGATGAACCAGGCTGAGTTGTGCTGTCATCAGCAGTGCCCTGGAGTACTGTGGACCTGCCTGGCTCAGGATCCAGACGAGAGACCGCACAGAGGGTAGACTGGATTCCGGTATTCTGTTACCAAGCATGTCACCTTCGAGTTAGCCTAGTTCCAAGATGCCCTTGCCAACCCCACCCCCCCACACCCCACCCCGAAGCTCAAGCACTACTTGTATTTACATAATACCTTTTCCTGTTGATGTAACTCAGTAATTACAGTCAAGTAGTGTGTTTCATGAGCAAAAGCGACAAGCAGTTTCTGTGCTGCAAGATCCCACAAACTGCCAGGTGAATGACCAATAGACCAATAGATCTTGCGAGATCTTTAACAACCATTCCGACTAGGCACGGACAGGATGTAGGTTAAACCTCACCCAAAGGACAGCGCCTTTGACAATGCAGCAATCCCCTCAGTACTGAGTTGACAGTGGCAGCCTTGACCCGACTTGAACACAACCATTTGCCCCGAAAGGTGAGAGCAAGACCAAGTGAGCCAAGCAGAAACCAAAGCTAGTGTCAATCAGATGCCAAGTGCTGGAGTGCCAATGCTCTGCTTGCTGAAGAAAGCGGATGGTTAACCATAGAAAACTCCTTTGATACTGAAGGAAGCCTGCTACGTTGCTGGAATACAAAGTTCTTTTGCATTCGCTTTGACAGCAAGTGGCCTGTCTAGGCAATTGTCTTGCCTTTTGGTTGCCTTGACAATTAAAACAATCAATTTTAAACTGCGAGCATAAGGAAGCTTGCTAAATAGTGGCTTTAGTTAAAAGTCTAACCCAATAGTTGCAACTGCTAAATAATATGCCCTCCATTTGATATAACCAAACAACACTGAAAATTGGGTTTAAAAAGGCACACAGGAGTTGCCTCCGTTTAAATTTTCAGACAGGCTTCCGAGTCCTTCAGACCGGGAGCATTCATGATCTGATCACTGCTCAATGGAAGTGAAATCCCTGAATGAGGGAAGAAATGAATGGAATGTTTCACTCCCGATCCAAGCTTTGAAGGAAACTTTGGAGTCCTGTAGCGTAGTGGTTAGAGCACTCGCCTCGCAAGTGAGAGAACCGGGGTCTGATTCCCGGGCAGGGTCAGGGTGAAACATTGGGCAAGTTTCCTTACTCCACATGCCTCTGTTTCATCTAGCAGCAAGTAGGAACTTAGATTGGTGGATCGCTTTTCCAGGGTAATAATCCCTTCAAAAAATAAAAATATAAAAATAATAATAATTTGGTCACTCAATCCATAACTGTTTTGGGACACTGCTGTGCGCAATTGGCAGCTGCGTTTCGCCAACAAAATGTACAGTCAATTCACGAGGCAGGCAACTGCACACAGCAGTGCCCCACAAACAGTTGCTGATTGAGTGAATATATTTGGCAATCGACTTGGAAGAATGTTGGCCAGTGTAGATGGTAAAGTTGAGACAAGAACTTGAGAAACAGCCCCCTGATTAACAGCTGTTGGGTCTTGCTCTTTGCCTCTCTCTCTCTCATCCACACCACACATGCACAACATTTCTTCCAAACACCAGAAGAACTGCTCTCAAAACACAAACTGCCTCCTCCTGCCTGCAAATCAGGAGGACGATGCCAGAGACAAATGGTAATGGTGACTAAAGGCAACACAAACAAATTTGGGATATTTCTCAAAAAACAGGCAACAGACTATTTGTAGGCGAACACAGCAGCCAAATTTGCACAATGTAGTCCCACAAAACAATCACAAAGTGAGCGACCAATTTTATCTGGGGATTGTTGGCAAGGATATCCAGGGAAATTTGTGTCTCTTTGAGTAGTACCAGGGGGCCTTTAAAATCCACTTGAGCAGGTTTAACACCTAATCAGATTGCACCTCCAAGAATGTAGCACAGGTTGACAAGAGCCAAGGCTTGGGGAGCCCAAAATGTGCACTGGGGTAACTGCTGGAGTCTAACCAGCTAAAACACCATTGCTTGCTGATATTACTGTCCAGCAAGGTTTCCCACTGGTCCACCCTACCCATTAAGGCTTTGGCTTGCAGGGTTAACAGGAGCTGAGTGGGATGACTCCCTGCCCCAGTGAATGGTCTGCCCTTCCGATGAGCTAGGCTGGCTGTGCGGTAATCAGCAATGCCCTGGAATACCGAGGACCCACCTGGTTCAGGAACCGGTCTAGAAACCGCCAGAGGGCTGGCTCGATTCTGACATTCCATTGCCAGGTATCTCACCTTGAAGCTAGTAAAGGAGGAGTGAGGAGAAAACAATAAAATGGTATTTCCCAATTGTCTAACATTTCCCAAGACCTCTTGTAGTGGCATTTCACTACAGCACAGCCCACGGTGAAATAGAATTTATTTTGTAACACAGATGAAGAGAAAAAAAGATTTAAGACCCCATTCTTTAAGAAAGACTGGCAGCTCTCAAAGCGAGCAGTAGCAATGACCACATTCTCTACAGCCGTGAAATGTATGCATAATTTTCTTCGTGCACAAGTGACTTTTTAAATGCATGAGATTTTGTCTCGACTTTAGCACATTCTACTTGTGACTTTGCATTGCATCATAGGCTACAAGGAACAGAGGAAATGCAAAGTACTATTGCACTCCCTTGTCTGACACTATTCCCCTCCAGACTCAACTGTACTGTCAAATGTTTCCCCAAAATACCCCATTCAATCCTCTTCTGAACTTATATATTTGCTAATCCTATATTTTGGAGTTCTTTTTGGCTCATCCATTCTCTTAGAATGAGAAATCTATGATCAGCAGAAGGCCATGCGATGCATTGTACAGAAATAATAATAATCTTCACATTTGATATAGCGCCTTATCATGTTTCACAGAATATATTGTAAAGCGGATTGACTGCATATTTTGTGGATGAAAGGTAGTAGCCAATTGCTTCTGTGAAGTGCCCTTTCAGACGTCTCGACGACATAAGGTGCTGCAAGGATTATTATATTATTGATTATTATCATTACTAGTCAATCCATGACTGTTTGTGGGACCCCGCTGTTCGCAATTGGCGAGGATATCAATGTTCCCATCAACGATGAGATCATTGACAGAGAGAACTTATTGGAAAGGGAGCGTACATTTTGTAGGGCAATGACATGAAGATCCATCTCTTCGCAGCTGTTCTTTTGGTCACCGATACTGAACCTCAGCCCGCTCTTCCCCCCCACCCTGCCTGAGCTTGCATGAGCAGTCAGCTGTGTACAATGCCTTGAGATCCACCCCCCCACCCACAATGTGAAAGCCACTATATACATATGCATGCTTGTTGTTAGAGAAATAAGAGATGCCAGTTGTTAAGTCTGTCATTGAATTTTGTAAAGAAACACCACCCAGTTAGCTAATGCCATTGCAAAAGTTATTTGGGGTGAATTATTTGCACAGGACAACTGTTCCTCATCAGAAGCAGAACCATAGCTAAAATTAGCAGGAAAATGACAACATTTTGGCAGCTACTTCAGCTGACACAATACTAAAACGTCTGAAGCAATCAAAGAATAAATGGAAACCTGAAGCAAAATAAATGAGACTCCGGGAATCAATGAGTTGGGAAATCAGTGATAAAAGGTGTCGAAAACTGGGGAAAGAGGTCAGGAGGCATTTCTTCACTCAGAATCTTGTTAGTTAGGATATGGAATTGAGGCCAAATCAACAAAATTGTTCAAAAGAAAACTGGAAAAGCAGCTGGGGAGAGAGGTGGTAAGTGGGATTAGTAATTCAGGGAAGAATTGATACAGGTTCCAGACTACTTAAATGCAAGTTGTTGTTTTCCACCGGTTAATTCTTTATCTGGGTTCAAGAGTTAAGACCACAGCCTCCATTTCCCCGCTAGATAGTTCCGCTGTTGGAACATAACTCACCAGCATTACCACGCACCAGTTGAGGATTCCTCTGTAATTACTGTATCCACTTGCTGAGCTGAGCAACGACTCCTGCAGCCTGTGACAACTAGGACAGAGGAAAGCAAAAGTCAGTCCACATTTTCTTAACAGGAGCACGAAGATCCAGATGAGGTTTGACTAGACAACTGAGTAGCCAGGGGCAACTGTAACTACAATTCACAGATGCAGAGTAGTTAGCAGAATTTTAAATAAATACCTGAGGGAAGATATCAAAGAGTATGGAGACTGGAACTAGAGAGCTCTAGCGGGGGAGCGAGCACCATACTCTCTGATGGGGAGAGAGCAGGGAACGGGATTACAGTAGAGCGCTCCAGTGGGAGAGCGAACACCAGCAGAGATGGCTTTCTGTGCTGGACAATACTCTAGGACACTATAAACAATTGGGACTTAAATCCTTTGAACTGTACTAATCCCAACAAATAAATATTTTACAATTAGTTCTGCCCCTCATTGCCAATGTACAGCCGAATCCCCTTCCACCATAGGAGGTGGGGTGATAGGTCAGGATGATGTGAACAACGGTTTTTCCCACAAAATACAGTCAATCCTATTTGCAGTATATTCCATGAAGCGCTTTGAGACGTTTCAAAGACAGATAATAACAATTCTTGCGTTTGATATCGAAGTGCTATATCAAATGCAAGGATTAAATAGTTTCAAAGTTCATCACAGGGCAATGCATGTGTGCATTGTAGTTACGGTTGCCCCTGTGATGAACTGTGGTGAGTGACCATTTGCAGGCTGACATGGCAGTGCACAGAGGTGCACAGTCTAACTCTCTTGCCTCCAAGTCAAAAGCTGGAGTTGTAGCCCCACGATGGAATTTGAGCTCAGTCGAGGCTGACAATTCACAAAAAAAAAAGATTAATTTATACAGGAAGCTTCACTTTTTCCCCACCAGACAGAGTGGTTGGCTCCATGCACAATTAATAAATAACTAAGTAGCTTCATAACAAATCACCAATGTCTGGGTTCAGCCACACCTTACACCAACCAGCATCTGGATGTAGTTACTAGAAAATAATACTTGCATATTAATATAGCGCCTTATCAAGTCTTCTAGATGTCTCAAAGCACTTCACAGGATATACCGTAAAGTAAATTGAATATATATTTTGTGGGCGCAAAGCAGCAACCAATTGCACACAGCAGAAACTTGCCTAACATCTTGCGATGCCTGGGAATCCAAACCAAGTCTTCTCGCTTGTGAGACGAATGCTCTAACCAATAAGCTACAGGATTCCGCTGCAGTTAAGCAATTAGATGGTGCTTTTCCATCTGTTGACCCTCACTGAGAAAGCCATGAATGAGTGCTCCAATGCTATCATTCCAATTACAGGAACATTTAAAGCTTTTTTTGCATCACAGAAGCCTTCAGACAGTTTAAAAAGAGAGAGATCACTAACAGACAGAAATATCAATCCATTCATTAAAAGCCATAGCTTACAAAACTGCTTATGGAAAACAAGAGGCTTATTATGTCTAGAACTCCTGTCCTAATGCGGGAAAGGGTCAATGCAATTCACAAGAACGCCAATGTAATGACTATCCTCTTAGGGCAGAAGAAAAGGTAACAGAATCTCCTTGGGCTCCTTGAACTGGCTTCAAGGCAACATGCATAGTAATGGAATATCAGAATCGAGCCCCACTCTATGGCCATCTCAGTCTGGTTCCTGAACTCTAGTCCAGGGCACTGCTGTTGACAGACCAGCCCACTATGGCTCATCGAGAGGACTTGGAGGGCCAGGGATTCCTGCCATTGCTCACTGGGGGTAGATTCTGCCCACTGATCTCTTGTTATAACAATAATAATAACCCTTGCATTTGATATAGTGCTTTTCACGTCTTCTAGACATCTCAAAGCGCTTCACAGAAGACTAAAGTGAAACGACTGTATATTTGTGAGTGAAATGCAGCAGCCAATTGCGCACAGCAGCGTCCCACAAACAGTCGTGGATTGAAAATGACCAATTTTTTTTGGAGGGACTATTATCAGGCGTGTGGAGTAAATAGAAAAAAGGTAATTTTTTTGCACGTTCCACAGAGCCTATCCCAATCAGATAAGCTTGCACAAGACGGAGTTGATGTAAGCTTGAGTTGGCAAAGTCTGATTGGCCCCATTAGAGTGACTGCCTTAAGTATCACTCCTTTCAGGTCAAAACACCTCTAAGGGCTTGACATGTAATTATCATATTAATTCCATGTTTTAGTGGGCAAATGCAGTACAGTTTGAGTACAGTTAGGCTCCACAAACAGCTACAAAGTGAATTATAATTCATCAGGAGGCATCGTCAGCCAGGATACCACCGAAAATAAAGTCCCTTCCCTTTTCCAATAGCGTCACAAATTGTGCAATATCCACCTGAACAGACACAATCGTGAATCTCTGTTCAACTTCTCTTCTGAAGCACAGTACCTTCTACAACACAGCACTACAGCATTTTCAGTCTACCTTAAATTAACCAATGATTATATGCACAGTACGAAGGTCAGTTGCAGAAAGAAAGGTTAACTAGCAACAACATTTGTATAGTGCCTTTCACGTCAGGAGGACGTTCCGAGGCGCAGTCAGTGTTTTGGACCCGAGCTGAGGGTCGGGAGTGGGGAGGGTGGAGGGCAGGGTGGGGGGGGGGGGGGGAGCAGGGTGATCGAAAGCACGGTTGAAGAGGAGGGTCTTGAAGGAGGCAAGAGAGGAGGTGAGGCAGAGGGACTGCGGGATGGAGTTCCAGAGGGTGGGGGCAGAGTGGCAGAAGGACTGCCCATAGTGGGGCGGGCGAGGCAGGAGACGTGAAGCAGTCCGGAGCCCGCTGAGCAGAGGGAGTGGGCAGGACGGTAGGGGGGTTAGGAGGTCACAGAAACCAATAGAAATACTGATCTAAACAAAGGCTTGTGCCAAGATAGTAGAGTGCATCAGTACTTGGCCTTCTGCCCCTCTGGCCCCACTCTCTGGAACTCCATCCCACAGTCCTTCGCCTCACTCCCTCCCTTGTCTCCTTCAAGACCCTCCTCTTCAACTGTGCTTTCGATCCCCCTTTCCCCCCCCCCACCCTGCCCTCCACCCTCCAAAAATCCAACCCCCCCCCCCAGCTCGGGTCTGGAACTGACTGTCCAGTGCCTTGGGACGTCCTGCCGACGTGAAAGATGCTATACAAATGTAATTTTGTTCTCGTTGCATAATCCAGGATACGAAATTCATACCTTAAGCTGCCTTAAACAAGCACCGAAACCCTGCTTTCAACCCAAGCTTCACATGAATGTGAAATCACTACACCAAGAAATTCCAACAAGAAGACATAGGTTTACAGTTTAGTGTAAAGAGCAATTTGAGAACATACATCAGGAAGTAGTTATTTACCCAGAGAGTAATTAAAGACCAGAACAGGCCAGGAAAGAAACTAGTGGCCATGACACGGAATTCGTTTAAAATAAATTTTTTATGAAATTCTGATGTGAAGACGGTAGGGTGTGGCTTTTTCATACCAAACCAGTCTTGAGAGAGAGAGGTAGAATGGTGAAGTGGTTTTGGAAGGGATTCCCAGAGGGTAGGGATGATGGCTACAGGCTTTACCACCAGAATCAGAAGAAAGGAGTGGGAAATCAGCAACAGACTGCCAGAAGTGCAGAGGGTATATTAAAGTATATTCTGTGATGTGCATTTTGAAATGTCTAAAACGTGATAAGGCGCTATATCAAATAATATAATAACAATCCTTGAATTTGATATAGCGCTTTTCACGTCTTCTAGACGTGAAAATTGTAAATTGCAGATTAAAGCTTAAAATGCATTTTAAGATTAAAGATTAAATTGCAAGATTATTATTATTGAATTGAATCTGAGTAGAGTTTACAGAACGTGTGTAATATTAACAGCATCCTGTGGTCCTTGCTCAATAAGGCTGAGAATTCAGTACTACCTTTTGCTGTAGCAATTGGGCTAAGGTTGCTCTATACTCATTTACTTAAAACTTAATGGCAACAGGGACGAATGGTAATGAGGCAGGAAAGGTTCAGATTCCGCTTATCTTTTGGGCCTTCAAAATAGCTCACAGACCTTGGATCCCTGGATATTTATATCCCAAAACATGACATTTGTACTAGAAAACTTCTTTCCTCCCCCACAAATGAAAGGAAACCAGAGTGCAATTTGTTCCTATGAAGTCTGACCAGAGTGAAAGGAATTCCAACACCACAGGAAAGGGGGGGGGAGGGAGCAATTACACTCAGGCATGTTCACCGAAGAGAGACTGGGGAGAAAAGGGTAGGGGCACATTCAAGCCTTGCTGGAATTCACCTTGAAAAGCCTAAAATGTCACCTAAATGTCTTCACCTGAGATAATTTTGTCTTATAATAATAATCCTTGCATTTGATAAAGTGCCTTATCACATCCTTGAGACGTCTCGCAGTATACAGTGTAAAGTGGATTGATTGTATTTTGGGGACGAAGTACGGCAGCCCATTGAGCACAGCAGTGTCCCACAAACAGTCGTAGATTGCGTGACCAATTTTTTTTTAAAAAATATTTTTTTTCCCCCGGAAAGTGATCCACTAGTAATCAACTAGCAACTGTGTTCCTACTTGCTGCTAGATAAACAGAGGCGAGTGGAGAAAGGAAACTGCCTGGGAATCGAACCCGAGTCCTCTCGCTTGCAAGGCGAGTGTGCTAACCACTGCTCTGCAGGACTCTTAAAATGCAAGATCATATAGAATTGTGGAAAACGCTTAAACTTAGCATGAAATCGGTTTCTCTTAAAAAAAGAACCGGCTTTGAAATTACAATTGAATTGTAGATATTAAACTCTGAGAAAAGATGGGGAACCCTTTCAGCAGTGAAGGCAGATGAACAATTAATCTCCAGCACAAGGGCTACTTTGCAGGCGGCAGTTTATAACTCCACCTCCTTTCACCACACTCCTAAAGAGACCTTTCCAAAACTCTGGCTTACCTGAATGTCTTCTGTTCTCTAACTTTCGTTCAACGTCTGGAGGCATGCTGAAGGTTACAATTCCTCAGAAAATCTGTGACCCTTACGTTGCTCCTTATGTGGA